TGTTTCCGGTTGGCTCGACCGAAGAGTCGTCATCAGAACGGGTAGCGACTACTTTCTTTCTGGTTTCTTTTCGGTTTACTCGGGTCGGCGAGTAGTCTAACTCTCTGAAACTTCTTTTCCGGACGTTAAATCGATTTTCACTCCTTCCATAATTGAGACACACACACACACACACACGACCAACGACACGGACACACACACACGGACACACAACACACCTACACACGACACACACACACACGACACAACCAGCACACCACACCACACACACCACACAGACACAACACCACACACGACACACACACACACACACACACGACACACACACACACACACCCCACACACCGGGCATCGTATGGTATGAAACACCCTGGATTAGACGAAGGAATGTGATCAGTGCCACCCCTGACGCGCAGGATTATTCAGAGCCTGAGTTTATACCTTCAGGGGGTCAACCGGTCGACTAGGTAATTAAACATCGGGGGGACTGCGCTCTCATTTTTAGAAAACTAGAATAAAAAGTGAAAATACCATCTCTTCTGTGTGAACTACGGCTAAAAACCTCGTGGAAAAAGCGGCCCAGTAAATGCCATCTGATGTACAAAGCCGCTCGGCCGACCTTGGGTACCGCTGAGGCAGAGCAACTTTGATAATGCAGTTTTATCGAGTGCGTGCAAAGAGATGTAGAAAAGTGACACGCATTCTAATAGGGAGCAGAGATAAAGAGAGAGGGAAAGTTGAGAGGGAGAACCCAAAAGCACGAAAAGACATGCACATACATATTCACGCTCATAACACACACACACACACACACGGACAGAGCAGCTGGACCCTCTAGCCCTACACTACACACCCCAGACTCAGCGTGTGTGTTCATGTGAGGCAGAACAAGGTGTGTGTCCTTGGGGAAAACATGAGCGCAGCACACCAGGAGACGTGTAGCATGTGTGATGAAAGTGAGCTCCGTTCTCGTTCATCAGTTCCGATGATATAAATGTTTTTATATACAAGTCGTGGGATGCTTTAGATGATGAGCGAGGCCCAAGTGAGCCACAAATATGTTTTTCATTTCATTCCTGAAATGTTCACTGCTTTACTGACGAGTTTATTGAGTCCAATTCATCTGTGTGTTGGGACATTAATGCAACGTGTGCGAAATACACTTTGTCTCAGCTTTAACCTACTTAGGAGAAGCAAATGGGTGGATTTGTGATGACAGGAGTCTAATGCAAATTCAAAGAGAAGACACTTTTATTACGTGTTTCTTGTGTTACGGTTTGTTCTCCAAGCAGGTTGAAGTATACGTGTTGAATGAGGACTGTGTGTAATTAGACTTTGTACATGTGTTTGAGTCTGTGTGTGTCCTTGAACTCACCTCTGACCATGACGGTGACCTGATCCCTGCCCAGCCCGATGCGGTTCTTGACCTGGCAGACAAAAGTGGTGTTGACAGCGTCGTCCACCTTGAGCACCTTCAGCACGTTTTCTGTGATCTGCACCGTATCAGGCATCTCTCCCGTCATCCTGCAGGGGCACGAGAATAGAATAGAATTGAATATATCTTTATTGTCATCATACAAGGTACAACAAAATTTATTTTGGCAACTCTCACTGCACTGCACAATGGTACGCATTTGGTTTGTTCTACCCGACATCGGATAATTTCAGCCTCACGCTTTGTCAGCACGAATTTAGCACTAAACGAGTTTTAGCCCTCTTTACGGGCCTTTTATACGTCTTATACTTGTGGCCCGTCCTTGGCCCCGAGTATAACTCGCGCGTTACTTTAACCCTCAAAGGGCGGCTTTTAGCCGCCTCGCACTGTTCATACCGAGCCCGCCGCTCTCGTAAGTACACTAGCTAACCAACAACTACCGCATTTGACGCAACTTAACAATTCCAAACGTCCCACCAACGTAGACGTCCGTAAAGTTCCCTAACAAAATTCGACATTTGATACTACAATTAAATGCCACCATAATAGATACAACCCAGCATATACAACTATATTT